AACATCAGAACACAACAACATCATCTTCATCATCAACAACAACAACAGCAACAGAATCAACAACATCTACAAATTTGAACACAGCAACAACAACAACAACAGCAACAACATCTATAACAACACCAAGTATCTGAAACTTAATTTAACATCAAAAACTACAACACTATCATTTTATTTAACAACTAATACTTTTCAATTTCACTAATAAAAAATTTTTCAATTTAACTATTTCAATTATACTAAATACAGTATAAACTAAACCCCATAAATAAACTAAACTAACTTTACATAATTACTACTACACTTACTTCTCAGATAGTAGCAGCGCTGTGACCCAACCCGTAGTAACCGGGTTCGATCGCACTGAGAGGCCAAGTATAAGCAATGTTACTTCTTTTCAAATACGGCGGTGTTTTGTGACAATGTGTACGTTGTATATTTGTTGTTGTTGCTGATGTTGTTGTTGATGTTGTTGTTGTTGTTGGAAAATTAATCACATAAATGGATGGTTGAAAGTTTTTTGTTACAATAATATAGCTGGTTTTTTGAGTTGAACGCAAATTTTATTGCTTCTACTGCTGCTGCTGTGGTACCTACTGCCATTTCTGCTACCGTTACTACTGGGGCCGTTGTTTCTATGGTCTTTGCTGCTGCTACTGCTGCTGCTACTGTGGCTATTGTGGCTGCTACTACTGCTTCTGCTACTAGTTTTAATTACTTCTATAACTAANACTGAGCTAATCTATTATAATCTAATAAATAACCTGACTCACATATATCACATTCAACATTATTATTATTGTTATTATCATCATCATCATCGTTCTCCCTATTTGACCTTCGACTTTTGACCTTTGACTCCTAGCCTTAGTCGACCCTTGCATGACGAGCAGCAGTTTGTATTGTAGACGTGGCCAGATGATGTCATCGCCCAATCGGTGCAACCAATATTACGTCTGCGATGATCCAATTGGCCAAGGATTGTATAGGTGAGTTTTTTTAAGTTGGTTTTGGCGCGAATGAATGAATGAATGAACGAACGAACGAACGAATGAATGAATGAATGAACAAATGAACGAATGAACGAATGAATGAACAAACCAATCAACCCATCCATCCACTCAAATCTACAAGATGGAGTCTTCAGCAGTGTGAGGATGGAAATGTTTTTGACGTAATCAGCTTGACCTGCGTTCAAAGTTCATTCATCACGACGTGCCAGCAACCTTGTCGGGGTTACTATTATCATTATTATCATCATCGCCTTCTTGCTATAATTATTATTATTATTTATTATTATTTTTTTATTATTGTTATTTTTG